CCAAAGCAATCTTTTGTAGGTCTTTTTTTTTTTCCTTTCTTCTTTTTGTTCTCTTTTCTTATGGTTTGATGACTAGAGAAGTTCTTTTAACATTTGTTGTAAAGCTGGCTTGGTGGTGCTGAATTCTTTTAGCTTTTGTTTATCGTGAAGTTTTTGATTTCTCCATCAAGTCTGAACGAGAGCCTTGCTGGATAGAGTGCTCTTGGTTGTAAGTTTTTTCCTTTCATTGCTTTAAATATATCTTGCCACTCCCTTCTGGCCTGCAGAGTTTCTGCTGAAAAATCAGCTCATAACCTTATGGGAGTTCCCTAGCATGTCTGTTGCTTTCCTCTTGCTAATTTTAACATTTTCTCCTTATCCTTAATTTTTGTCAACTTGATGACTGTGTGCCTTGGTGTGCTCCTCTTTGGGCTGATCCTGTGTGGAGCCCTTTGCACGTCCTGGACTTGGGTGACTTTCCTTTCCCAAGTTGGAGAAGTTTTTAGTTATTATCTCTTCAAAAATTTTCTCAGGTCCTTTCTCTCGTCTCTTTCTGGGACCCTTATAATGAGAATATTAGTGCACTTCATGTTGTCCCAGAGCTCTCTCACACAATCCTTATTTCTTTTCATCCTTTCTTCTGTTCAAGCAGGGAGAGAGTTTTAACCAAGAAGGAAATTTTGAGGTGTTGGCAACAAAAGTGTAAGTTATATGATGTCCTCTTTATGTTGATTCACTAAGCGGTAGTTTATTTACACTGATTTCTGAATTCAATTTTGATACTTATCTGGTACAAAATGCACTTTCAGAAGTGAAGCACTTATTTACAATATCTTGCTTATGAGGGAGAAGGATTTGACATCAACAGTTCAGTATGTGACAAGAGCCCAGGAATCAGTTAAGTCTTAGGCTCAGCATCATTCGTCAATAAACCACCAGCAACCCTGACTCAGATTTATATGAAATAAGAATAAAACTGGTGGGACTCTGGGGTAGACGGACTCTAAGGTGGTCCCAAGACCCCTGCCTCCTAGTATTCACACTCTTGTGTAACCCCTCGAGCATGGGTGGGACTTACTGACTCCCCTGTAACCAACAGAATACAGTGAAGGTGATAAAATGTTTGTGATTACCTTACAGAGGACTGTAATGTCAGTCTCGGGGGGGACACTCTTGCTGGCTTTGAGAAAGCAAGCTGCTAGAATGGAAAGCTGCCTATGCAGAGAACCACGCGGAAAGGAACTGAGGGTGGCTTCCAGCTAACAGTCAGGGGAGAAACTGAGACCTTCGGTCCAAGAGCCTACAAGGAACTGAATTCTGCCGCCAACCATGTGAGCCTGCAAGCAAACGCTTCCCTATTCGATTCTCAGATGAGCTTCCAGCCCCAGCTGACACCCACACCTCAACTGCAGAGGCCCTGCTAAGCTGTGCCCAGGCTGCCGAACCACAGAAACGGTGAGACAACAAGTGTGTGTTATTTTAAGACACTAGTTTATAGTAAGAGTGTTATACAGCAACAAATATACAGAATCTCTGCGAAAATTCCACTATTTTTCCAAATCCAAGAACACTTGACAGAAAAGCAATACCTTCTCTTTTCCTATTATCATCTCAATAAATTTATGAAAACTAGGATTTTACTGTGGTATTTTAAGAGCATGACAAGGGAGTTCATGAGGTGGGCTTAACTGCCATAAATTTTTCAACAAAGACACACATTATAGCCTCCAGAGGCATTTTATTTTATTACCAGTTTTTGAAGGAAAGTCTCTTTCTAGCCCTGTCAAGTGCACAGTGCTCTTTTATTTTAGAAAGCAAGTATACAGAACAAAGGAGAAAGCTCTTTGATGTTTAAATATTTATCTTTCTTTATCATTCCCCCCAGCAATATCATTCCCTCTAAAAACCACCAATTGCTTGTTATGTAGTGCGTACCCTGAAACTCTCACTGGCTCATTATTAGTGACTTCTGTAACAAGGGCAACAGACACCTGATCACGAACAGATCAAAATGTTAAGCACCATGATATCTTAATCAATAAACTGCATTTACAACAGCTTTGCACTATTTGTCAACACTATCAATTATTTCATTTCAATATAACTACTCTTATATCTTACTCATTATAACCTAGCTTGCAGAAAAGAAAAACAAATTATTGGCCCAGACTTACAAATTCAACATAAAAACTCCCTTCCTAATTAAAATAAAAACAACCTGGTATTCCAAACATTTCAGTCACACTTGTGAGCACGTCACCGCTTTTACTGTTACACGGCATCCTAAACGTAGGTACACAGATCCACTGATCGTTGCCACCTAAGAGCTTAACATTCCTACAGCAGTGTAATACATACTGCCGAAACCGCTTCTCTCGTCCACCACACACAATAAGCAAATACTACATACAGGTTCAATGACCTGAGAGCAAGGGTGACGCAACAGGCCCTGTAAAAGAGCCCGTCTCTTCTGAGGTTAAACAGCTGATCCAGACTCTAAGGGAAGGAAAAGAGTGTTACATTTTTAAAGCAGTAAGGGCTAAGGTTACAGGAAACTTAGAGAGCAGCTCAGTCATCACTGCATGAGAGTAAAGCACGAGGGAGCTGGGCTCCATTCTAGACAATACAAAATGCTACAAAATAACTCTGCTACATTTTATTTTGTGAAAATTAGCAAAGCGAGACTTCACTAAAGTAGAGTCAGGAGACCAGAAGAGGGAGCTCTCAGGCAGCACCACTCCAAGTCAATGACAGAAGAATCATCAGCTACAGTCCCCAACAGATGCATCATCATGGGAAAGATCACTTACAGGTCCCAACAAGATGTACCCTGTGTCTCCAAAAGAAACCAACTGCCCCAGCAATTCAGCCAGTGGGAAACTGAACCACCCTGAACTCTCACTTTTCTCCAATGGACTTTGGTTTGTTCAAAACAATCCTTCCCAACTTCTTCCTTTTTCTCTATAAAATAATGTGTCTATGGCTCTTGAATAGCATACTTGTCCCAATTTGCAATTCTCTGCTATTCTTGAATAAACCCATTTTCGCTGGTAAAATAACTCTGATTTTTAAGGTAAACAATTTTCAAAACTAGGTCTTAAGAATAATTAACATTCAAGGTAACAAAAGGTTCATAAAGTTACTCACTCTTTTCACTTTCTCTCCAGTTCTGAGACGCCACTAAATCACCTGAATGCATAGCAGTCATAATCTTCTGAGCAACAGTGGAAAGTGGTATCTCACAGAGATCAAAACCTACAAATGCCTCATAATTTTCCATTTTCATACAATCCTAAACATAAGATAAACATAATATCCATATATTAATTTTGAAATTTCAAAATAAGAAACAAATTACGTGAAAATTTCTAGGTAGAGACGTTCATAAAAATTGCTATATTCACCACTACAGGAAATAGGTATCAATTGTCCCCATAATACAGACAGGACAGTAAGAAGAAAGCAAAACACATAGAGGCTCAATTGGGTATTATGGCAAACAGGTGACAAAGAGCCTGCCATCCAGGTGACCAATTTTGAAGTAATCTCCTCAAATATTTCCTACTTCCTGAGACTTGAAATGAATGGCTGTTACAATCTTCAAACATACAAATCTAGTAACAAAAATAATTTTTAACTGACATGGGTAATTATGGCAGATACACAACCTGACATCCTTTCCCTTCCACTGCTCAGCTGTACTGGCCCCCTGTGCTGAGTGGGTGAAGGTCTGGAAGGGACAGCACAAATCATCGAGTAGCTGGTCATGCATCTAACACATCTGGCAGTAATCTAAACACAATTTCCTGTTTCATGAACCAGAAAACCAGGTGACATTTTCCTACACTATTGGAAAGAAGAAAAATTTTCAGTAAATTCTCGATTCCAAGGTAGGGCAGAAGGAAAAAAAAGAACCAAAAAAAGGTCACCTGTGAGGAGCTAACAGCGAGGTCTTAAGCAAAATTTATTACTACAAATTTTTCAAGCATATTGAGATCTACTTTATAAATATAAAACTTTAATGTACAAACACAGTAAGACAAAACATATTTGTTCAAAGAATTACAAAAATTGTCAAAGCCCATATATGTCATCTAAGCACACTCATTTTCTGATGGTTACAGCTGAAGAATTCCATTAAGACCACCTAAAATGCAGTTTTTAGACTGGCAGTCCACATTAAAAACAGGCAATACATTCTTGGATCAGGAATAGTCTTGAAAGTATTATCTGTATCTTCTCTATTCTCCACAAGGTTTACTTAGTATGTAACACAGGCCACATATAAATCAAGCACTCAAGAAGTACTTGATGTAATAATTGATAAACAAGCTACTTCAAATTATTTTACACTAACTCTTAAAATAATTTCTAATTGTCCAAATACTACACTTCTATCCCAACTAACACAGTCCAGCATTTAAGTATTTTCACTCCTAAGAAACTAATTACAACAGCCTTATACATCATCTCAGCAACCACTTCTACACTGAAGTCAAAGCACTGCAGAAATGTTGAGTCCCCAGGACCCAACCTCTAAGATGAGCAATGGCCAATGGAGACCTGACGTTCTCTGTGGTATAAGTGTGAACACCAAAACAGTCTCAAAGTCTACAGCAGGGAATTGCCGGGGAAGACAGCTTGAGTGGCAGAACTTTACTTTATAGACAAATATGAGGGGATTCGACTATTCATGTATTAAGGTCTACACAGTTTTAACAATGCTGACTATAAAATTTTTAAATATTTAAGAGCAGAAAATTTCTATCTCTTAAAAAAAGTAGAGATGTAATTAGCTCTATTAAAAATATCTGCGTGGACATAGTAATGCTTTTCCCCTGTAAGTTATAAGCTACCAGGACTAAGTGACACCAAGCAAACGTTCACATCATAAAAAACACTGGTACTCTGAACAAACATAAGAAAAAAACCAAATTGATATAATACTTGAATTAATTCAGCGAAATGCTCTATTGACTTCGAAGTCAAAATTTTCATAGTGTTTATTGGCTATACTCTCCTTTTAATATATAAAACATTGAAATATAGCATATACAGTAAAGATTCCATTTTTAGTAATTTTCAATCTTCAAGACCAATGGTCTTAATCTTTGATTGGTTTTCTAAATTCTCCACAGTATCTTTCAGATAATCTTCATCTTTTAAAAAATATACATATAATTCTCTTTCCATTTGATGCAGTTTATTAGATGCCAAAATTTTTCTTTTTGTCTTCACGTCAGCAAGAATATCAGTCAGAAGATGATTTAGCTTATTTAGTTGAGATTCAACTTGATGAAACTGCTCCATTAACTCCTAAAAAGGAAAATAACAATGGTTTTAATGCAAGAGCTCTATTCATAACACCAATTATAAATCTGAAATGCAGCTTACACAGAAAGAATCTAAATCATATTATTCCCAATTTTAACAATAAACGAACTTCAAATAAAAATCCACAGCATGTTTAATAAAAACTCCATATAAGAGCCATTGCAGCAACTTCCTGTACGTAATTTTAAGTGAGTCAAAGCACTCTTACTCCCTGAAGATTATCTGATATGTAAAGTGTTCTGCATATTCATACATTAAACAAATATTACTGAATGCCTACCACATGCCACACACTATTTTAGAGACTACAAATGTAAGAATGAATGCTGTTTCCTTCATGGAGTTTACATCCTGTTGAGTAACCAAATCTTGTTTTAACCTAATCTCTGTTTACTCAGACACTGAAGTACAGAGAAAAACCTTGAAATGAAGCAATTACAAGTAAAACAAGAACTACTTTAACAAACATCTCTGTTTTTCTTTTCTCTTGTTGTTACGGAAGATGGAACTATATGTGACATTCAACAATCCTGACTTACCATGTCATTCTTCTCAAGAACCTAGACATGCTGGACTCTTCACATTTAACACACTGCAATTCCTCATTTCTTAGCATTAAAGGCAGATTATTAGCAAGTTGCCATGGCTTTCTAATCATGTATTCTACTCCTATAATTTTTCAGGCAGTATTACCAAGAGGTTCTCAGAAAATCTGGAGCTATAACTACCTCAACCTTCCATGGCTTCTCAGCATGGCCCACAGCATGGTAATCTCCAGGTGCGTTTACTCTGAACAGATTCCTGTATCTCACTTCACACTAAATTCCTCAAATTCTACAACAGGGCAGGAAGCCACGTTTCAACAGGGTCCCTGGTGATTCTAATGTACAAGCTCAAGAAGAACAGCTCCACATCTGTCATAAACGCCAGTTCCAGAGAGTAGTACTTTATAAACTGCATTTTAAAAAAATAAGTAATCCCTACATTAAGTGGTCTCCCTTTGAAGAAAAACTCTGTAAACTTGAATGCAGTGAGAAACATCTCACCTTTAATTTCAATACTAAAGACCTTTAAAATTGCTAATACTCCTACAAATATTAAAAAATATTCAATTGCATTAATAATAAAAATGCAAGTTAAAATTGATACAAATGACATTTTATCCCTCACTGGCTAAGGAAGAATTGTAAATAATGATACCCAATTAGGTTATAGTGAAATCACCATATTTTAGTGATTCTAGGATGCAAGCTTTCACATTTTAATATATCTGAAATCAGTATGCACTATATATTTAGGAGCATCATGTTACTGTTATTGATCAGACACTCGTAAGAAGTGCTTTACCATTTTTTTTTAAAAATGGGGGGATGGGTATAGGTCAGTGGCAGAGCACGTGCTTAGCATGCACAAAGTCCTGGGTTCGATCTCTAGTATCTCTAGTTTAAAAAAAAAATTCGGTTCTTTTGGTAAGAGCACAAGAGATCTCCCCTCAACAGACTCAAGTGTACAACACAGGATTGAGAACTGTATGCACAACACTGCACAGCAGATCTCCAGAACCTGTCCACCTTGCCTAACTAAAACTTCATACTTGCTGATTAACATCCACTCATCCACAGCAACCACCACTGTACTCTGGGCTTCTAGAAATGAGTCCATTTTAGAGACCTCATATAAGTAGATTCATGCAAGATTCCCTTGTGATTGGCATTTCACTTAGCATAATCTCCTCAACGTTCATCCATGTTGTCCCATATTGCAGTATTTTTTAAGGCTGAATAATACTCCACTGTATGAATATACTACATTTTCTTTATCCATTCCCCTACTGATGGACTTTTAGGCTGTTTCCACATCTCAGTTACTACAAGCAGTGTTGCAATGAACCTGTGAGTGCAAATATCTCTTCAACATCCTGTTTTCCTTTGGATATATACCCAGAAGTAGGGCTGCTGAATCATACAGTTCTATTTTCAAAATTTTCAAGGAACTTCCATACTGTTTCCCACAGCAGCTGCACCATTCTGCATTTCCACCAATAATGTACAAGAGTTCCGATTTCTCCACATCCTCCCTAACATCTGTCTCTTGGTTTTTTGGTAATAGCTATTCTAACAAGTATAAGGTGATATCTCATTGTAGTTTTGATTTGCACTTCCCTGATGATTAGTGACATCAAGCATCTAGTCATATACCTATTGGCCATTTTGTAAGTCTTCTTTGGAGAAATACCTATTCAAGTCTTTAGCCCATTTTAAAATCAGGTTATTATTTTTTTGTTAACACTGACATTCTCGATACACAAGGTGAAAAAATATAAAAAATACTTTGAGTCAAGAAATAACATAGAAGATCTAGACACTAAGGGTGAAGCTTTAGAAAAACTTTAACCATTTTAATTGACTTTTTTCTTTTTCATGTACAGTCAAAAGTGACCTGATAAAAATCTATGTCTACCCACACCTAAAAGATATCTTCTAATAGGAATAAAATAAAAACTCTAAATAAGAAAAATACTGTTAATTTAACTTAAAAAAGTTTCTTTCTTAGCAACTCATGAAGTGATGGTATGTCATATTACAAATGGTGTCCAGTAGACATTTACATAGTGCTGGTGGCATTGTAAATAGGTACAACTCCTTTGAAAAGTAATATGGCAGTATCAAAGGTCTTTAAACAATGTATAAACCCAGGAAACTCAGTAATTCTACTTCTAAGAGTTCATCCAAATGAAAGTACCCAACAACAAAAAGCTATATACACAAGATATACATGATGTCATTTAAGAGCAAACAAAAGAAAAAAATGAAGACTATCAAAACATCCAATGATGGTGGACTGGTTACAAAAATTATGACAGTAATTAAGTCAATAGAGTATTATAACATTAAAAGTTAACAAAATTACTTAGAGTGAAAATGTTTATTTCATAATGCTAAGTAAAAAGAATATAAAAGATACATAAGTAAAGGTAAAAAGCATATACCTTGCAAATACTAACCAAAAGAAAGATCGCATAGGAATATTAACAACAGACAAAAAGAACAACAGAGTCATTATATAACACTAAAATGGTTCAATCCACTGCAATTTAAATCTACCAAGATAATAATTCACTGCAATTTTAAACTTGGATATAACTTATAAAATAAACTCAAATTTAAAGAAAAAACTGATAGAGCTACAATGAGAAATTTTCAAATCCACCATCATAGGATTTTTACATAATTATCTAATAGATCGAGAAAGTAAAATCATCGATTTTTTAAAAAACTAATCACAGATATCACTTCACATCCATTAGGATGGCTATTACATATTTTTTAAAAAAGGGAACATAACAAATGTAGGCAAAGATGTGGAGAAACTGGAACTCTGGTGCAGTTGCTGTGGAAATGTTAGGCAGTTCCTCAAAAAGTTAAACACACACTTACTGTATGATCCAGCATCCATTCCTATAGGTATACACCCAAAAGAAATGAAAACAGACTCAAATATGTGTATACCAATGTTCACAGCAGCATTATTCACAACAGCCAAAAGATGTAAACAACCCAAGTGTCTATTAACAAATGAACAGATAAACAAAATGTGTTATGTACATATAATGGAATATTCAGCTACAAAAATAAATAAAATTCTGACACATGCTACAATATGGATGAAACTTAAGGACATTATTCTGAGATAAGCGAAACACAAAAGGACAAATATAATTCTACTTATATGAGGTACCTAAAATAGGCAAATTCAGAGACAAAGTGGAGTAAAAGTTACCAGGGGATGGGGAAAAAGGAGGGATGAGGAGTTAATATTCAATAGGCACAGAGTTTGGACCATTTGGGATGATGAAAAAAATTCTGGAAATGCACAGTGGTCATGATTGCATGACATTGTGAATGTGTTTAATGTCATTGAATTGGACACTAAAAATGGTTAAAAATGTAATTTTACATTTTATGTATTTTACCACAATAAAAAAATTTAAAAAACTAATCACAAGCCTTATTTTAAGAAAGGGTAAGGTAGGTATTCAGATCAATTCTTCCATGGGAAAAAACATAAAAGGCTAAATGAAATATTTAAAGAGTCAAAACAAAAGCTTCCTAAAAGCAACAAAGAGATAAGATATTAAAAGAAACCACCAGTCCAATAAAACAGCCCAGATTGGTAAGGGAGTAGCGCTGCTTTACTCAACTGCCAATCATGGAAAAATAGAACCCGTGATTCTTGAGACTTACAAGATGAGTGGGAGAATAATCGAAGTCCAAGGTCCACAGAAAGTAGGAAGTCAGAGGAGACCCTCTTCATAATAAACTAACAACTCAAAGGACCCCAACAATTTTAAGATCAGGATGGCCAGAAGTGGAAGAGCCCTTGGTTAGAAATATAGCCCAGACAGAAATCAATTGGGTCCTCCAAAGACTCTTGCAGTTTGAACCCAGTTTGTGGTTCAAAATTGGTAGTGCCCATAGTATCTAACAAAACATACATGAAGGCAAAAAACATTTAAAGATAATTTATTCCAAAATATTAAGAGGGTCCCTTCACTATAAAAATACTGATTTTAAATTTGTACACTTCAATAAATGGTGATAAGACAATTTGGTTATTTATGGGGAAAAATAGTAAAATCAGAACTCAATCTCTCATGCTATATATAAAAATAAACTCCTGGTGGATTAAAGAATTAAAATTGAGAAAAACTAGATTTGGTGGATATTTTCAGAGCATTACACCCCCCAAAAATA